TCTGGGTGTGGTGAGCGTTTGCTCATTTTGGATGGATGAGGTCTTGCATATAGTTCTGATAGGACTGTCAACTGGAGTGGGCCCTTCCTTAGCCAGTGGAAGCCTGCACTCAGAGTTCAGTCAACAGGGCCTTTATTCTCCTGGAACTCTGAGTCCTGACTGAGAAATAGGAAAAATGTAAATTGTTAGATTTCCATGCATCTTAGCAGATTTTATTCACCCTACAAATCTCTAAAGCTGCCCGGCTTCTAGCATCCAAGCCAGGGTCTTCAGCCTCCCTCCACCGTGAGCCTCCTCCCGCCTTCCTGGGGGCTGGGATCAGATCGAGAGGGCTGTCAGTAAAAACTGTCACCTGGTTTATTCCACAATCCCTTTTATTTAGTCAGAGCAAAGCACCTCAATACAATGAAGGGGTTCATCAAGAAGTCAAACTTGTTTACCTCGACCACCTGTCTGTGTGATCCTCACACAAACAAGTTGAGGAGCTTGGCAAAACATCCTGCCTATCCCTGTCTCCAGGTGAAGGCCAGGGTGAAAACATGTTTTTCACTGAAACTCAATAACAAAGCAGCCTAACAAGCAAGCAGCTCTCCACACAGTTCAGTTCTCAGCAACTCCTCTCAGGCAGCTCACAAGGGACCTTAAAACCTCAGTAGGATCCAGCAAGGGGATCTGGCCTCTTCAGGTACCAACACATACATGTACATACACACACGTTCATAACTATAAATAATAAAAATTACAAAATTTAATAGTGACTCTCTTAGGGTTTTACTGCTGTGAAGAGACACCATGACTTCAGCAACTCTTATAAAGGAAAACATTTAATTGAGGCTAGGTTACAGTTCAGAGGTTTAGTACAGTATCATCATGGCAGGAAGTATGGCAGTGACCAGGCAGATACGGTGCTAAAGAAGGAGCTGAGCACTCTATACCCAGGCAGCAGAAGAAGACTGTGGGCCATGCTGGGTGTAGCTTGAGCATCTGAGACTTCAAAGCCCGTGCCCACAGTGACACAGCTCTTTCAACAAGGCCACACTTCCTAATAGTGCCATTCCTTATGTGCTAAGCATTCAAACTCATGACTCTAGTGGAGGAGGGCATTCCTATTCAAACCACCACAGACTCTATTAAAGAAATTACATAATTCATCATTCATAAATTTATTCATTAGAACATATTATAGAATCTCATAAGAAATACATGAGATATTGACTATTACAATATAGTTTACAAACAAGTTATGTAGTATGTTAGAAGGTAAAATAAATCAATGTAAAAGGAAAAATAAGTGTAGATCAGAGCATCAGAACAGCCAAAGGACGCAAGATAGGCTCAATAGAGAGGGCAGTCATGGGGGATACCCCTCGTAGAGTGACTCTTCAGAAAACCCAAAGAAGATGAGTTGAAACTACAGAGTGGCTGTTCTCCTTTCTTTTTAGCTTCCAAGATGATCAGACCCAAATAGGAGCCTCATTACAGCATCTTAAAGGTCCTTTGTCCCCTGGAGAAGCACAGTGGCTAAGGGCAAGGCTCCCAGTACCAAACTATTCAAACGCTGGCTCTCTCACTTTCAAGGTATATGGCTTTGTGGGCGGTGTTCTGTTTCTCTGAGTCTCGGTTCCCTGCTTCAAACTGGAGCTATTAATAGTACCTACGTCACAGGGCTCTTTTCAGGATTTAGTGAGATAACACAGGTGAATTCCTTTGCACACAGGAAGAACGCAATAAAATCGGCTGTAATTATTGAGCTTCACTCTGGTCTCTCAACATTTACTTACATTTTCCTTGGTCCTGGTTCTTTAACCTTATTGATATTTTAACATTGTTTATGGTTCCTGCTTCTGTGGTAAGCCACCTCAGATCCTTTGTGGATTAGGATAGGTTATAAATAAGTAAGTAAATAAATAAAAATCTGGACAGGAAAACACTTACACAGAAGCAAAACATTTCATTACCAACAGACTGAATTGCAAGTGAGTCCAAAAGCAAGAAATATTGATTCTGATTCCTAAGGGCCCATCAAAAGCCACTAGCAAGCCATCTTCTGGTTTCTCTTCACCCTTCTTTGCTGGCCCTCCCTCCACACACCCTTTTCTCTCCCCTCTCTTCCTCTTTCCCAACCCTTCTTCCTCCCTCAAGAGAGGGTAAATGAGTCACACAATATGACTCAATAGCCCCCTAAGTCCTCCCAGCCTCCTAACAGCTTCAGTGCCATGGGCCTCATAGAACTGCCCTTCTTCCCCTTCAGAAAAGAGATAGAAACAGATGAGGTCACTTTCCACGTTGACAGTCGCAGAAGGGAACACTGGCTCTGTGAGCTCTCAGACACAGGCTAGAATCTCTCCTGTCATGAGTGACTGGGCTCTGTGGTGACACGAAAGTCCCTGAACCCCTCAGTGCCACTAATTCTTGATTTTCAGTAACAGTAACTCCCAAGATGCTGTGTCAATGAAAAAGGTAAAATTCAGGACAGAAACACACTATTTTCAACGTCTTCCATGAATGTTGACTGCACCAAAGCAACCCTCAGCCGGCTATGGGTGGATATGGCAGACACAAGGTGAACAAGCTGGCTGAAATATATCCCTACCTGACAGACAACCCAGAATAAACAAAGGAGAGCCCTGGCTGCCTTTTTAATTCATTTTCAATTACGCAGATGTCTGTGTGAGTGTGTGTCATGTGAATGCAGGTGCCTGTAGAAGCCAGAAAACAGTGTTGGATCTCTGAGAGCTGGAATTACAGGTGACTGTGAGCACCTTTGGTGCTGGGAACTGAACTCAGATCCTTCGCAAGGGCACTGTGTACTCTGACCCACTGAGCCATCTCTAGCCACAGGGCTCCTACAGCTTTTAGAGGGTTTTCATGGGTTTTCTTTAGGTCTCTCTTTGGGATGGCCACGATGACATCTGGGAAGGAAGTTTCAGGAGGAGCCCTGGCCTTTCCCGCCAGCCCTAAGGGAAAGGGCAAATCACCGCCCCAGGACACCATGGGCTGACAAAGCCCCCGGTCCAGCTGTGCTGTCTCCTCCTCAGCGGTCCCTGCACTGACGGAGCATGAGCCTGGGCTCCTCAGACCTGCAGTGGGATCCCTAAGCCCTCTTTCTCTTTCACTACTGTTGGCCACCACCCCAGGAGCCCTGCCCAGCATACAGTAGGCTGGGCAGGAGCTCACAGTCACTTTAAGGACAGCTGGGGAAGCTCAGCCTGACCACCCACCATGACCCCGATACACTCAGGAGGGGCGGTGGGTCCTCAAACATGCCAACTCCACTCCCAGGCAACCAGGGAGATGTCCTGCTTGTTGCCATCCCCCCTTTGACCCCTCCCTCTCCACCCCACACCCCACACCCCACACTTCTCTGCCTGGAAAGGAAATTTCTAAACAGCAGGCCTAGCTTGTCTCTGTGTCCCTCCTGGGCAAAAGAAAGCAGATCAATCGAGGCCCAGCTTAGGGCCTTCTAATCAATATTCTTGACCTTCAGACACATTCTGATGGGCTCTCCTGTGCTGGGAATCAGTGAGAGCAAAGTCATTGTCTGAAAGTCTAGAGTGCATCTAGGGGAAAAAAACAAGGAAAGTCCATCACAGCAGACAGAAAGTAATGGGGGCTGGGTGTCTCTAGAAACACCCCTCTGGCTGTCCGATGGATGAAAGAGAGCTCCCGTAGGCAGTTGGATAAAGGACCAACATTTCACGCAGACTCAGCTAGAGAATAAGCTGAAGGTGGCCAGAGACGGTCCAAGGTAGAGGTGATACTTGATGTTGAAAACAGGACAAAACTTTGGGGGAAAGGGTGGTGTTCCAGGCTGAAGCACAGCATGGTCAATGGCCTAGAGCTGGGAAGGCAGCAGCTCCGTGACAGTGCAGAACTGCAGTGAAGGAACAGGCCGCAGAAGAAACTAGGCACACAAAATGAAGGTTATGACGACCACAGAAAATACGGGGAGCAGGCCTGCAACCCGAACTAGGACAATCACCTAAGGCCTCACGGAAGTAGCACACTAAAAGGATAAAAGGGGAAAGAAAGCCACATGGTAGTCTGGAGCGGAGAGATTAACAATTCAAAGGTCCTGGGGCCTGCGTGGCTGCCATCTTGGTTATGGCCACAGATTGGGAGGAAGGAGAGAAGGGCAGGAAGTGAAGTTAGAGCATTGAAAGGATGCCTGCTCATGAAGACCCTCCCAGGCTGTAACGGGCACTTCAGCTTTCCTTAGATGCAGTGAGCAGCCTCTGTGGGAGTTCCCGGACAGATGCAGCCCGGTGCTCGGTTCAGAAGGATTGCTCTGGCTGCTCTGGGAAGAGCCAGCCGCAGGTGGCCGAGGATGCGGAAATTCAGGCTCCCGAGGACCGGGGCTGGAACCATTCTCTTCGGCAGCCGCGTGCTGCTTCTCGTGTTCGCCATGTAAAACCGCTGCGCGTGCAGCCCGCCGCCTCACAGAACCTCCAGAGGGGTGAGATGCCAGGAACCAGCCCCGGAGAGGGTAAGCTTCGGAACAAGCCGCACCTGCGCGGCCCTCGGACCCCCCCCCCCCGTGCCCACATGAAAGCAGAGCAGATGGATGCCTGTCCCGCTGCCTAAGTCAAGAGAGCTAAGCCCCGTGGAGAGAGGTGTCCACCCGCTCCTGCGCTACAGAGACAGAAAAGGAAGGAGTGGGAAGTCAGGCGCCTCCTCCGGGTCCTGGAACAGGTCCTGAGCACCCGGCACGCAGGTGCCAGCATCCGATAGGAAGCGCCACCGCCACCCCCCGCGCAAGAACACCCCACCCCAGCTCTGACCCCTTTGTCTAGCTCGCCTCTACCCTCATCCATCTGTCTGTCTGTCCTGCTCCAGATTCAATGAGCACAGCCCTAGTGGGGTCCCTCTGGCGGCTGCCGTAGTCGCGCAGCCCCGACCCGGGGCTCCCGGGAAGAGAAAATCATGAATGAAATGGTTGCGGCGCTCCCACTCCCCGCCCTCTCGGTCCAGGCAACCTTGGCGCGGGGGCGGCGCCTGTGGGGACTCCACGCAGAGCTGCCGCGGTGCGGGGGCGCGGGGAGATGGGACCCGGTGCCGAGGGTCTGCAGTCCGCCCTCCAGACCCTCAGGCGAGAGCGGAGCTCCCCACCCCCACCCCGCCGAGCCCGAGAGCCCTGCGCAGTTCCCGGGGAGCGGCGCAAGCCCGTCCGGGGGCGGGGCGGAGCCGGGCTAGGGGTGCCAGGGAGCCCCGGCGGCTGCGCCCCGCGAGCCCGCAGCCCAGGCGCATTTGGTGGGGCAACGGGGCAGGGAACGCGCGAGGAGCGCGGGACTGAGGGCTCCACGGACAGACCGACAGACGGACGCCCCCGCACACGCAGACGCACCGAGCTCGGCACGGCCGCTGTCACACAGGCAGGGACACACGCAGACACGCACACTCGCGCGCTCACAGCCTCCCGCCAGCCTGCCTGTCCGCCGGCGCCCGGAGCCCGCTCTGGCCGGTAAGTGCGGCGCTTCGGTGGGGGCCTTTGTGTGCGAAGCCGGGAGGCACTAGTGCGGGGTCCCCTCTGGGGCGGCGGCGAAGCTGACACCTCCTCCAACCCTCCGGACCCAGGAGCCCGCCCCCGCCACGCCCCCCGTGGGGCGCCCCGAGGACTGGAAGTGGGGTCCCCACGCTTGGGAGGGGGCTTGGCGCTGGGGGAGCCCACCATTCCCCGAGTTCGTGCGTGGTTCCAGGGAGGGATCGGAGAGTGGTCCAGGTCCGAGCTTCTGCGGCCCAGGCCGGTGTGCAGCTCCCAGACGCCTCTCCGGAGTCTGAACCCCAGGGATGGGAGATGGAGATGGTAGCTGGCCAGCTGGTCTCCAAATTGTGCCTTCCCTGACCCTTTAGCCATCCACCACCCGGTTCCAAAATAGAATCCCGGTGCATTCCCCTCCCCCGACATACTGCTTTTTTTCCTGGAGGAGGCCCAGGCTCCTGCAAAGCTCAGGTCAGAATCCTTATCAAGGATCAATTTAGAGACAGGGGTAGGATCTTAGGGCCCGAAGAACTCATTTGATAGCTGCATTGTACAGAGAGGGAAACTGAGATTCAACGAGGTGGCATGGCCAAGGTCACCAGGGAGTTAGTGGCAAAGCATGCATCAGAGTCTGGAGCGCCTGGCTTTTATGCTCATTTTCCCCCACAATCAGACCCCGCTCCCACGAAGCCCCAGAACCCAGAAATTCACGTGAGTATCTCAGGTGAATCTGGGCAGTGCCGGCCCTTCCCCCCAGCTGAAGCTGAAGGTGCCATTCATTTCCTGCCATCCTTCTTGTTTCAAAAAAAATTGGGAGTGGGTGCTTTAATTTGCCTCATTCCACCTCTAGGAGGGCTCTGTTTTGCAAGCATTCGATGGTCCAGAAGGCAGTTTGGAGATTGAAGCAGATGTTAGATTCCTGGCTGTTAATCCAGCCCTTCCAGTAGTCACTAAGCCTGCGGGTCCCCAGTTGGACCAGATGATGTGGCCTTCCAGGCTTCATTTCTTCCCAACCTAGGGCTGACCGGTCAGTCCTCCCGTCAGTCAGTCGTTCTGCCCTCCTCCTTAAGCACCCACTTTTCCCATCCAGCCAGGCCTTGTAGAGGGCTAATCATCATTCCTTTGTGGAGGCCCCAGGTCCCCACTGATGTGTCTTCCTTCTTGCTGTTTAAGGGTGGCCTCGTGGTAGTGCTGAGAAAGCTGCTGGGAAAGCTTGAGTTACGGCTGCGCTGGGCTCCTTCAAGGACAGCTAGGTGTCCCGTGCAGAGCGGGTGGCCCGGGAGATGGGCTTAGAGAACAACTTGAGGGGAGAGGAGGAAGATGGTCACCTTGGAGAGTCTGGGCGGGGTAGAGTTCAAGTCTGAGACCAAGTTCAGCCTCTAGGGGTGTGAGGTTGTCTCCGAGCTTCCCTCTTGAGGTAAATCGACTGGCATGGAGCAGGGGAAGGTGGCCTCATGACAGCCCCAGGAGCCACCACTGACATCATGGTCCATGTAGCTGCCATCCTCCTCCTAGGCACCATTTACAGTGACTTCACAAGGAACTGTGGCCCTTAGGTTTGGGGTGTGCCAACGCTCTCACCTTGGTCCCACGTCCGGCCCCTCCTCAACACCGTGTGGTTCAGAAGCTCCTGACTGCTCTGCAGGGCACTTTCTCCTGGAGGAGAATTCTCCGCTGTCCAGGATTTCAGGTCTGCACTCTTTGTTGAGGATAGAAGGCAGGGGGAGGAGAGAGAACACTTATTTATGTAACTACTCTGTGCCTGGTTATTCTCCTTTCACTGTGTGAGGGAATGTTTCCTGACTCAAAGAGATAATGCGTGTAGGCTACTGAGCACAGTTCCCAGGACAGAGGGAGAACTCAGGAACTGACTCGCCCAAAATTAGTGCCTTCACTTTGCAGATACGCTCTGCTTGTTCCATCTTCGAATCATTTGAGAATGTAGGGTTTTAGGCCCTCACGGTCCTCCTCCCGAAAGCTAGTCCTCTTCCTGCTGACCTTACCCCATTCAGTGCTCAGCCCATCTAAGGCACCATGACAGCAGCCTGGGGAACAGCGCTATTGCTTACCTAGAGTTTGCAGTTATCGTATGTAAGGAATTAAGCAAGTAAACGTTTCTTGCCCTTGTCACTTGTATTTCCTTTGTACAGCACAACAGTGGTATAGCATCATTGACCCTATTAAGCAGGTGGGGAAGTTAAGAATGAGAAATACAGAGACTCCCGAGAACAGATAACACGCTGACAGAGCCCGGAAGAAGGGCGGATTTCTTCTTCTTGAGAATCAAGCTGGCACCTGAGCTAGGTCTGGATGATTTCCACGTTAGAAAACAGGCGGGGTGTTTCTAAGGGTGGAAACAGCCTGAGCAGAGTGCAGACAGATTCAAGGACTTAAAACATGGTCAGAAACTGGAAGAAGGCAGTCCGTCCCCACTGAAGCAATGAGTTAAAACCAGCTCCTGACAAGGCTTGATGGAGGCTGAGGCTGGGCACTGAGTGCCAAGCCACGGAATTGGACTTAAGCTGCTGAGTGGGGACAGAGGTAATCAGTCTTACTGCATGGAGAACAGGCTGGATGGGGACAGCCTGTTGGCAGGGCACTCAAGTAGGAAAAGCTGATAGTGGCCTATGGAGAGATAACAAGGGTCTGGACTGGGGGTGGCTGCAAGAATGGATAGAAAAGGGATCTGGCATCAGCAAGATGCCTCATCGTCACCAAAACCTGCAAGTGACCGGATGTGGGCACTTCAGGGAAGGAGGAGTAAGCGAAGGCAAGCCTTTGAAGTTTGAATGGCTGGTGTTGCCATTCACAGAAAGAATCCACCAGGAGGGAGGAGGAGACTTGAGAGGAACAGGAGTGACTGACAGGAGCCATAATGACTCCTGGTGCAAAGCTTTGTCTGTCAAGCACCTGATACTGTCAAGAGCCAGCCGGCAAAGATAAAGTGCCTGAGGTGTGCCTCTGGAGCAGGATAAAGCAGGAGGGGGAGTCAGTGAGGGTAAGCGTGGAGGAAGGCTTTCTCCTTAAACAAAACTGCCTTTCGGGAGTTGATATCCAAACAAAGCTCTGAAGAAGTGAGGAGCAGGCTTGAGAGAGCAGTACTTTCTAGAAGTCACAAGCACAAGATCCCTGGGATGAGAATAGATCCATACTTCTTAGGAGCCTCGTGATGCTGTGAGGGATAGGCAAAGGGGAAGCCTTTGGCAAGAAAAAAGACATGAGAGAGGGTAGGGACCATCACGCGGCTGCTTACGGGTCTGAGGAATGAGACTCACAATACATTGATGTTAATGAGCCAGGCGGACCTGAGTCCTACATGCGTACGCTCAGTGCTATACAGTGGCTAACTAAATGGTCATTGAAGGGGTGAATGTTGAAACCAGCCTGATTTCATGCCTTAGACCTGCGTGAATCCATAATATATTGTGTCATAGTGAGGATGTAGTGAACTCAGAGTATGGCCACATTCTTAAAACTTAGAGGACTTGAATGTCTGCGCCGTAAATTGAGTCAAATATGTGTGTGTTGGGCAGCAAGATGGCTTAAGAGATAGGCCCCTGGCCACGCAAGCCTGGCATTTGATCCGAGGAACCCCGTAAAGATAGACAAAGGGAAAGGACTCTGCAAAGTCGTCCTCTGACCTCTACACACAGACCACAGTGCTCACGCACCCACACACACACACACAGTGATTGTTTTGAATCTCCTGCCTTGTTCACTCTGGCTCAGTGTTTTAAGCACTGTTAATGACTGGGACAACGTAGAAAAGCAAACCTGAATGATTACTAAACTATTAAAATGGTAACACGCGAGGTCTTTATTCTTACTTCTAGCACAGAGGTAGATTCCTCTGTTCATGCTGCATTTTCTCCTCCACCATTTTTCTAACAGGCATTCTCAAGACACTAATTTCTTGCACAAAGGCACCGATTTGCAGGACAAGGCACTATCCTCTCTGGTAAAGTGACAGATTCCCAAAAGGCAGAGAGAACAATAGGACATAGAAACTGTTTATAGAAGTTTGAATACTTCAGGCACATAACTCATTATTTAAATGAATCTACAAGTGTCAAGGGCAGGACTCTAGAAGGTAGCTAGTCATAAAAAGCACCTGTGCATTAAACTGAACAAGGTATGTTTGGATATTTCAAATTATATGGGGCCCTGTGCCAAAAACAGAAGCAACTCACCAGAAAATATTTATGCAGCCATATGGATTGGCACAACTGTAGGTGTGTGTGTCAGTGTTCTGACCCTCAACTTGGCCAAGGCCGAGTGACTGGAATGAGGTTTTGTCCCTGTCACTCGTGGGTAGGGTTTGGGGAGTCGCCCTAGCAAATGCAGTTGACGGTGCTGCTGTGTGTGAGGCAGACAGGGAGCATGGCAGTCTGCGGCCAGCAGGAACTGTTCCCAGGAGCAGGAGACCAGCTGTGAGAATGCACCGTGTGGGGAGCAAGTTCACAGGCGGTCTTGGTCTTAGACTCTAAGGGCCTCCAAACTCCATCTGAATCAAGCAGATGCTTTAGAGACTCCATATCCTGGAACAAGAAGAAAACATTGGACACAAAAGCTGGATCCTGGAGAAAATGGAGGCCAAGTTCTAGGAGTGCTTAAGAGGGTTTCCTTAAGCCCTTACTTTTTGTTCTTTGGGGTATATACATAGAGATAGAATTGCTGACTTTTGTGATAATTCTATGTTTGACTTTTTGAGAACCTTTGGGGTGCTTTTATTAAAAAAAAAAAAAAAAAAAAAAAAAAAAAAAACGTTTTGCTCAGTATGAACAAGACCACCCAGGGAAGTCTGAGGAACAAAGGGCCCAGGAAGAAGCCATTAATTTAAAAGAAGTAAACTTTGTGTGAGCTCTGCATGATCTTGGAGGTAATAGAGAAGAAGAAAAGGAAACAGAATACAAATGAGTGCAGCCTCCATTTCTGAAGAATTATTGTGATCTAAAGGCACTGTGGGTGGAAAAAGAATGCTC